TATTAGAGACTAAGCACCGGTTGTGATAGCCAGACACTTTTGCGGCTGTAGGTCAGTTAAATCTGCTCAGAAGTATTAGAAAATTGTTATGAATACTTTTATACATCATATTTCAATGTTCTGATACATAGCTTAGCTTAGTAAACTATGCCTGAGGTGTGAGGGACGACTAAAGATGTAGGATACGTGTGGGAATTAGCCTAGGTGCCTATATGCGCGCGTGTGAAATTCCGAAACCTGATTGCGCGCGCGCGGAAATTTTAGCAGCCGCGCGAAAAACCTGGAGTATGCGCGGGAAAGGTAGAGTACGCGCGGAAAAGTGATAATACGGGGGGACACCCAAGTTAGGTCGGGGGGGCAATTTATTTTTTTCCCATTTTAACACTCATAGTTCAACAGGAACATCAGAGACCGGAGGCGCAAACCTACTGCGCCAAGATCGGTAACTATCAAGGCGGAAAGAGGAAAAGAACGAACACGGTACCGGCGCAACGAACACATCCTCGAAGCTATGTCAATCCCACGAAGCAACAATTACATAAAAGTGGGTGAGAGGATATCGGATTATCGACAGAGAATTCTGCGTCCCATCTTACAACTACCTTGGAAGAAGCGGCATGTATACCGAATCACTGGAAGTCCGACAAGCAGGGACTCGCTGTATCGGTAGAAGCCCCTAATCTCGTTCTTTCCTCGGAGAAATCAATAGACGATGTCCCCTGAAGCCTGAATGGGTGTTTCCCTGCAGTATCCCATCCCCGCCGAAACCAACAGTTACGGAAGGACTAGTCACTCCTCAGACTTGAATTTCAAGACTTGGAGCCTGAACTTTCGTAATTTCGTGGGAATGGTAATTTGATGCGCATGGATCATCAGTGCCTGATTACAGAGCACTCCGACTCTCACCGTTTCCACCAAATCGGGGCAACCTTTCTCTTTTCCTCGGCGCTCTGCCAGCCACCCAGTATACTTTGCGTCTCGAGACCGAGTGGGGCCTGCTCAATTTGGTGGGCCCACTTTTCCAGTTGAATCACATCATTGTTTGACTATAGGTATGTTACACGTATCACGGTCAGGGCTGAGACGAGCTAGTTGACTTCGAAGATTGTCTGAGGCACTAGGTTTATGAATGGGATGTTTAACTAGCGCCTTCTCACTTTGTATGCTATTGCACAACCACCTGCAATCCCGACATCGGGATGGAGGTGAGTGAAAATGCCTCGTAGACTCCTCAGCATTCTGCCACCCTATATTCCCTTACATCCAACGCACTGTCATGGCCATTGATCCCCGTCCTGCCCAACAGTTCGTTTATGATGGAAACAACAAATTTGGCTAACACGAAGACAATTTTTCGAGTACAGGAGCCTGAGCTTGGGAACATGCGGGATCCTGTGTCGAGGGCTATCAGCTTGATGACACGGATGTCATGCTAAATGGTTTTAATAAACCGACGATGGTCTGGCTTGCCCGGTACATTCTCTCGGAAACGAAACTGTGGTTCAGTATAGTTCGGGTACGTACTGTTTCCCATGCAAGTTCCTGACCATGGCTATGAACACTGAAAATATAACTATTCAAGCGCCCGTTTAGGCTTGGGCTTACTACAGTCCAAGTATACTGCGCGGGATTTCTATTGACACATGAATCGTTTGTTTTTTTCCTTTAAGGTGCAGAGGTACATAATCAACATGGTCTGAGGTTCGAACACTTTCCTGGTAGACGTATATTCGGACATCGCCAGTGGATCGTGCTTCGTAACCTCACTGGCCGATGGTGAGGATCTGCCGTTCCCGGTCAAAGTCTTGGTATGTTCCTGAAACGCATCCTGTCATTTTATACTGACAATGCGAATCTATTCTCAGTCCGTAGAGTGCGCAGTCATGTAATTGTCTCAACGCTCAGCGAGGTTCTGTTCCCCACAACCCGACAGCATCAGTCGAGACTTACTCGGCTACGCGGCTCGCTCATCCACCTTCCGTGGGGAATATACAATTGTAATTGATTTTTGATGGCCGTCGGGGATATGCACTCATTCACTTGTCATCAAGTGTACGAATTCTGACTGGTTCAACAGGAGATTGGTGCCTGAGCCAATATTCCTCGACCCTACCTCAAGTGGGTATAAAAGCTAGCCTCTACCTCCTCTAAAAGTCAGAGTCAGCTCGAACCAAAAAGTGCAGTCTCAGGATGTCTCGTCTCACTTCCTTCGTTTTCCTCGCCTGTCTTTTCGCTAGACAATCTTTCGCGGCGATCGGACCTGTGGCTGACCTTGTCATCAGCAATAAGGACGTCTCCCCCGATGGCTTCACCCGTGGTGCTGTCGTCGCTGGTGATTCGACCATCGGCCCGCTCATTGTGGGCAACAAGGTGAGATATCTGACTCTCTTTGTTCCCGTTCTCGTCGCTCATCGAGTCTGGTCTTGTAGAACGATAACTTCAAGCTCAACGTTATCAACAACCTCAATGACAACACGATGTTGCAATCCACGAGCATCGTAAGTAACAGTCTCGCTCTCGAGGACTACTGACGTGGTCGCTAATTTCGTCTCCTCACCAGCATTGGCACGGATTCTTCATGAAGGACACCTCCTGGGCTGACGGTCCCGCTTTCGTGACCCAGTGTCCTATCTCAAAGGGTCACAGCTTCCTGTACGACTTCCATGCTACTAACCAGGCTGGCACATTCTGGTATCACTCCCATTTGTGTGAGTCTTTCTATCCGTTTTTTCTTTCTAAACCACGGCATACTCAAAGTCCTTAGCGACCCAATACTGCGATGGTCTTCGTGGGCCTATGGTCGTGTACGACCCTCAAGATCCTCATGCCAGTCGTTACGACGTGGACAATGGTAAGAATACGCGGGCGTCCTCCAATTCCACACAATCCGAGTCTCATCAATGTTTGATTCAGAATCCACCGTCATCACACTCGCTGATTGGTATCACGTCAAGGCCAAGGGTCTTGCCAATGCGTAAGTTGCCAGTTCCTTCTCCCCGAAGTTAACCTGACTTTCTCGGTCTGGAAACAGTACACCGGTGGCTACTCTCATCAACGGACTTGGCCGTTGGAATCAAGGCAATGCGAATGCACCATTGTCAATCATCAACGTCGAGCAAGGAAAACGGTAAGTGTATTACCTTATTTCGAAAAGAACGGCTGAATCAATGTCCTCGACAGATACCGTTTCCGTGTAGTCAATGTCGCTTGCAGCCCGAACTATAACTTCTTTATCGAGGGGCATTCCTTGTGAGTATCAGACGTTCTCTCGCGATATCGTGTAATTGGCTCAAATAATCACTCTTCAGCGATATCATCGAAGCGGATTCTGTCAACCACGAAGTTTTACACGCCGATTCCGTCAGAATCTTTGCTGGTCAACGTTACTCTCTCATCGTAAGTCCTTTGAGTTCTTCAACCTTCATTCGAGCCTCGAGCCTCACCCACTTCTCCCAGATGGAAGCTAATCAACCCGTCGGAAACTACTGTAAGTTTACATTCAAGGTGGCCATTTCCCCGTATCTCACCTCGCCTTTTTCTCTTAGGGATCCGTGCCAACCCCAGCGGAGGTCCCACTGGCTTCGTCAACGGTATCAACTCTGCCATCTTGCGCTATGCTGGCGCACCAGTTGCAGAACCTCCTGTTACCAACTTCCAGTCCACTGCCCCAATGAACGAGGCCCAACTTCGCGTAAGTTCCAAAGTCTCCGTAGGATAATCATCACGACGACTGATTGGTCGTTACACTCAGCCTCTCTCAAACCCCGGAGCACCCGGAAACCCAACCCAAGGTGGTGCCGACGTCGCTATGCACCTCAACTTTGCCTTCGTACGTCCCGATATCGTTCGCACCGATTGTTTCCCTCACTTAATGCGACACATTACAGAGCGGTGGCAAATTCACACTCAACGGAAAGAGCTTCGTCCCTCCACCTGTCCCAGTCCTGCTTCAAATCCTGAGTGGCACTCAAACCGCTGACAACTTGTTACCCGATGGAATGGTATTCCCGCTTCCGAAGGATAAGACGGTGGAGCTGTCGTTCAATGGAGGGTTGTTGGGTATTCAGCATCCTATGCATTTGCATGGTGTACGTGCTAGGTCTACCATCTTACTTGGAAGTTATAGTACTGACGTGACTCTGATTGTAGCACGCATTCGATGTGGTCCGAGTTGCAGGCAGCAGTACCTACAACTATGCGAACCCCGTAAGTGGTTCTCAATTTGATTCTTTCGAGACGCACAGTTGTACTTACAAACAATCTGATCGAAATATAGGTCCGACGAGATGTCGTTAATCTCGGAACTGCGAGCGACAACGTTACGATTCGGTTCCGTACTGATAACCCCGGACCTTGGTTCATGCATTGTCATATTGACTGGCACATGGAGAGGTATGTACATTCAGTGTTGGTCTCTCGGTGATAATTCTCGATACTCACAGTCGGCCACCTTTTAGTGGCTTTGCTGTCGTCTTCGCCGAGAGAACAGACGAGTGGACGACGCTCCCTGCACCTCCGGGTAGGTTTCAAATATTCAATCGAACTTTCCATTTGATGTTAATACCAAGTGTATTATAGCTGCGTGGAACGACCTTTGCCCGACTTACAACGCTCTCGATCCCGCTGATCACTAAACGGTGCGCCCTCGTCAAGGTGTACGAAAAACAAAAGCTGTCACTGTATCTCCCTCGTTTCCCTTGGACACTATTCAAAAATCCCCCATCAACTCACTCACTTATCAATAGTTTCTCGTTCATTTCGGCTTTCCGGACTTGGTATCTATCTACTTAAGGGTATTTATACATACTTATTCCTCGGTTCTTTGGTTGGTTTGCGGTCGCTGTCGTATTATTGGTATTGTTATTGGGTACAAATTGTACAAACGGGCTGAGTCGCGAGATAAAGGTCCCATAAAATGTTGAAATATACGAGTTTGTCCCAGTCCACAATTATAAATCCGGAAACCTGATCTGAGCTTGCGGACATGCAGACAAAGAGAAACACCGTTGGTGAAGTGGTTATCATGCTTGCCTTCCATTATGGTTGGAGTAGTCAAAATCCGTAGCAAGCGGCTCGGGTTCGATTCCCGAACGGTGTATAGAATAGGTGGGATAGTTTTTTTTTTGTTTTGTTGATCGCTATCCCGGGAATTTCCTGCAAGCTTAGTGTGCTCACCATCGCTATCGGGAGTTTGGCTCACTTGGTAGTCAAGCCGTTCATTCGGAATACCGTCTGCGAATACCAAGTGCAAGCTAGGTTCACGATGTGTATGAGTATTTCAACCTTGTCTGTAAGACAATGTCCCTCTTAGCTCAGTGGTAGAGCGCTTCACTAGTATCTTCGAATGCCTTCCGTGCTAATGAAGAGGTCAGTCGTTCAAGTCGGCTAGAGGGAAGTAGGATCGGGAGGATGACATTTTTTTTGTGATGCGTACCACGGAGTTCTCCTGCACATCCAACTGCGAGCAGCGATCATTTAGGCAGGACCAACTCATCTGCATACGTTGGGCAACTCAATAATATCAGTAATCATAAACTCAAGAGAAGCACACGCCTAATGAAAAGGGAACCTTAGGAACGCGATTACTGAAACAGGCGCGTTGACCAGCCCTGCAGTCCAATCGAGAGCTCGGAGGTATTATTCTTAACTGACAAGGTATTAGAGTCTCATTCTGACCCTCGTCATCGAGTCCCATTTGAGGCGCTCAAATAAGGGAACCTAGTGTGCGTATCTTCTTTCTTAGCCATCGTACTGGTTCGGGTTGCCAGCCGTTCGGAGCACAGTCGGTGAAACTTTCAGGTCGCACGGTGAGATCACAACATGGTTCTTACTCTTACACGTCGAGTATAATCCCTCTTAGCTCAGTGGTAGAGCGCTTCACTAGTATCCTCGAATGCCTTCCGTGCTAATGAAGAGGTCAGTCGTTCAAGTCGGCTAGAGGGAATCCTCCATGGGCGAATTATTTTTTCTCACTCTTTGCCCGAGTCTATCTTTACCGACAAATTGAAACAGTTCGGCCCTCATGGTGATTCAGGCGGGTCGATAGTATACGCAATAGATAACTATCCCTAACCTTTTCTCGCGAGGGGAAGTTGACCACATGGTAACTATCTCACATTGGCAATTGTAGTGCAAGAGAAGCAAAGGCGGTAGTATTTGGGGACGTGAACAATGAACGACTGGACTCAAGAAACCAGGCACGCTAGGTGGGAGGATGAGATACGGGAAACGATGGAAGCCAGCGTCTGCGTGATTTGGTATCTATACGATAGGGAGAAGGTAGTTGGGAAGACACAACACCGCAGACGAATTATAATGGGGAACACAAGTCAATATGACACGATGAACGACGAGAAAAAGTTGATGTGTACGTGATAGAGACAACGGTAACACAAAAGACACATCAACGATAGCCACAACGGCATATAAAGAGAAAATATCCGAATAGTTGATCAGCTTGTATATTGCCAATCGACACGGGTTGCAATGTCGACAGTAATACAAGCCGAGAAGCGCTGGTGGAAAGTAGGTAGATGACGCCCTCGATCAGATTAATCGAGGGCGCCCCCAACGATGATGACCTCAAGATCGTGCGACGGAAGTGGAGAGTGCTACCCTTGGTACAGCAGTCCATCGAAGGTGATGTTACCCGCGACAGCTTGCGAGAAGCATTCGGAGAAGGGTATGTGTATATTCAGGTAAAGGGACGTCAGATATCTTCCGACCGGTGTTGTTGAACGAGTAGAGAAGGGATACTTGTCATAAAATAAGAGACCGGAACGATGAGAGGGAAAGTAGCGGGGTTCTGATCATAACATATTTCTACCCTCGAGTAGGAAATATGAACATCGAGGAGTCAGGATGATATCGTAGCCAGGCGGTACGTTTCACGTGGTAAGCTGGAAGAACGCAACATGCGCGACGGCATAGAACCAAAGACCGTCGCAAAAACGGAACGAAAGTGGAATAAATGCAATGGGTGTTCTAAACGAGGTGAGGGGAAGACAGCCGCAATGTCAACCGTAAGCCAACAGACGATCAATTCGTCGAGATGTGAATGGCGAGAACATAATATTGGCTAACTGGGAGGAAAGACGATGTCTAGAGGAACGTTAACCCCGACGCCTACTTCGGTTTCGCCATTGGTTGGGTCATCTTCTCTGCCGACAAATGCTTGCCATTGGGTATGTTCGATGTCGCTTCTAGGACGAGATGGTTAAATCAAGAGTCAGTATCAGGGGAGAAGACAGGTCAAAAAAATCAACCCGCATGCCCGACGGTGAAGGTCGAAGATGCAAAGAGATTGGGCACACCATACGCACGAGAAAAAAGCGACCAAATTAATTGAACGACGGGGCGTACCTTTCTCCCAAACCATAATCCAGCAGACCAAATAGAACGTCAGCAACCATCCACGACGTCATCGCGAGTTATCGTACAACGACCGTGCCAGCTGTGGAACTTGAGCTTGAAGCTGGCGTCCGAATCGATGGCGACTCTAAAGGTCAGAGTAACACTAGGTTAAATCAAAGATAATCAGACGAATCAGAATGATTGAAAGTTCACCTTGCAGTCAGAGAATCACGATGACCAAGGTAAAGATTAGAGTTGAGCCAACATGGGGGTTCGAGGCAACTGGGCTCGAGGGTGGGAACATTTGCGCAAAGCGGTAATTTCTCGGCTGAACGCTGGGCACGGACCACTTGTTGAGGGCAGGTTTTTTCGCATCCGGCAGAGATCATTTGAGTCTGAGATGGTTAGCATCCCATCAATTGGAAACAGGAAACTATCGTCCCTCTTAGCTCAGTGGTAGAGCGCTTCACTCGTATAGAAGAAGAACTGGGAGATTAACCTGATGAAGAGGCCAGTCGTTCAAGTCGGCTAGAGGGAACTGGGTTGTGCATGAGTAAAATTTTGGTTCTTCGTACGACGTACGTGAGGTTGAAATTGTAGGTTTTGTTTACGTGTAGGAATGAGATGTTCCACGTAGGTCAATGTTTATATTCTTGTCCACTGAGGCAGCTGTACTCCAGTGGATGACGATGCAGAATTGTGTTCCTCGCAGCTTTACGTTAAAACCCTAATGTGCCTGACTTGGCACAAGGGATATTCAGAAGGTCGGTGGAGAAAAGGTACCGCACCTCAGACCTACGGGATACATAGAAGTCCCCCGAATCTAACACAGCACAGGGCACTTGGCACAGGGGTAGCGCGCACGCTTCGCATGCTGAAGTGCTGCTTCGAATGCGTGAGGTCGTGGGTTCAAATCCCACAGTGTCCATACTCTCATCTCGATCGTCCTTTTTCTTCCTCTATCTACCTCAAGCTTGATTACTTACTTTGTAACCGTCGTACCCAAGACTCCCATCATTTTAAGCTTGCCCTCCGGGCCCTTGTTCTTCAAACTTCATCTCACCAAGTGACGCACCATCTAAGAAAGCCTTTTGTGACTGTCACCCCATATCACCTCATATTTCGAGTCAACCAACCCCGGTCGAAGTCTTCCCAATGGCACTCGAAAAGTTTTGTTGACTACTAGTACTTACCCTAGAACCTGTGACAGACCCCGTTAATGGCCAGGCTCTTGCTGAAGCTGTCTTCCCGGGAGATACATCTCTCTGGTATCACCAATGCCAGCTTCCCACACGCCCCGGTCATAACGTACTGATCGACTCTCCGGTCCCATTTCTTACCCAGCTCTCCTCGAGCACGTTGGCTGTTTCGACCGAGGCAAACCCCCACCCACTCATTTGATGGTTTTTTCACTCACTCATTTCGTCCTTTCATTTATTTTCTTCCCGACGTTTGGAGCGACGAAATCTGGATCAGTGTGATACATACCTATGAGAGATGTTACCTTGATACACACACCGTTGGTGAAGTGGTTATCATGCTTGCCTTCCATGATGGTTGCGAAAGCCAGGTTTGAGCAAGCGGCTCGGGTTCGATTCCCGAACGGTGTATGATAATGGCCCGAACAAGAAATCTTTTTCGAAATTTCCTCCCGACCAGATCGTCCTTGCACATTTTTTCGAAATTTACAAAACCATCTCTCGTCAAGATTTCTTCTGCAGGAGTAAGTAGATGATCGATGAAGTGTCACGAATTGTATGATATAGTTTACGATCTTGCGACCCTAACACGATCCCTCTTAGCTCAGTGGTAGAGCGCTTCACTAGTATCCGAATGCCTTGCGTGCTAATGAAGAGGTCAGTCGTTCAAGTCGGCTAGAGGGAATCAGCCTGGGTTGCCCACTTTTTTCTTTTTAGAGGTTTCTGGTACTACGGAATGTGCACGTAGGGAGTGTCGTTGCCAAAACGAGCTCAGAATCTGTCAATCAAGTAGGAGCTTCTCTCGCATGAAGGGCACGAGTTCTTCTTCACTTTGTTATCCTTGATTTAGTCCGCCGATAGTGTACGTGCCATGGTATTTGCTATTCTATTCGTTGCTTCGATCAGTGAAAAGAAGTACCGAGAGAGCAACCCAACACAACGTGCACCGAAATGCCCAACCAAGAAGGCCTAAACTCCAAAGCGCTTGGGCTAATCATATATGGGAGGAAAATATTGAAAGACGCGATGTAGTGTAATATTTCTAAGCTCTAGCAGGAGGGTCTTTGCAAACCTATTCTGCAGTGACCGTCCCGGTAGCGAATCCTGGATCTTCCCAAAATCAATGGCAAGCCTGAAGGTCCATATAACACATCCTGAAATCAACGATAAACCAATAACTATAGGAGCTCGCCTTGAAGTCAGATCTGTAGATCATGACAATCAAGGAATATGCCCTGAGACAAGAGCCAACATGGAGGTTCGCGGGAGACAAACTGAGGGTGGGAACATTTGAGCAAACGGTAATTACCATGGCTGAGCGCGAACCATGTTTGGGGCAGGTGAATTCGCGTCCTATAGTTTTCATGCGCAAACAGCTTTGATGGCTTGATTTCTGATGCTTCGGGTTCGTCTCCGGTTATGTCTGCCGCCTGGTGCAGAAGTATTGAACACTTCAATCAGTTCCGCTACGCCCTAATACTCGGATACTTCATGCCTCATTTCGTCGTTCCTCTAAGAGGGCTTACTATGGCACTCCTCATATCTCGGCGGTCTTCGGAGTCGCACTCACCGCTCAGAATGGTTGCCACTACTCCGTCGGGAACTGTTCATATGATGTCAATAGATGAATGAATGTTTCCCCAGATATCTGTGCCTACTGAATGGAAGTTCTACATTGCTGATCGATGACACGGGTGGCTATTATTATATCAGGATGTGGCGGCAGGAAGCGATCTCCTATTCGTGTCGACTCCAGTATATGAGGACTGGGTCTAATCCGCAACATTCCAAAGACGACTTTCTTCCCGTTATGAATGCCAAACTAGCTGCTTCCTGTAAGTTGGTCTCTGCCCTCCGAGTGGGTGTTTAAATGATGATTTTCGATCAGGTCTGGGATTCGTGATGACAGCGGCGGATTGGTGCCTGTGCTGGAAAGACGAGAAGAGAATCATATGGAGGTGAATTTCTGTTTTGCACCTCCCGCCCTAAACCTAGTTGATTAATTTAGCCTCCAGGTTGCCACTCAAGATTACTGCTGCCAACGTTCTGTACATCGGAACCAACTACTCGTCATTCTTCATCCATGCGTAAGTCCATCTCTCACACTCCTAAACACATGAAATCAGACAAATCAGGTCGCACTAGCGCAGACGTTGCGATCACATTCTTCTCTCGAATCAAGCATCCTTATGGCGTAGTCCCATATAATGTTTGCATGGTCCACTTTGTGTTCATGTCGATCGTCGCGAGCGTTCTGTGTGCTCTGCTACACTTAATCCTCATGCTTCGGGGTAAGTTTAAATTACTATTGATTGCGAACGCCAGCTCAATCACCTCCACCGAAGTATATGCCCTCTACGGCAAGAATCGGTACATGGGTGTCTTCCTCTCCCTGGCTCTCATTGGGAGAACGGCGGCCTTACTAGGGATATTCTCTGTTTACGACTATACGCCGGAGTATAAGAACCCGTTTGGCCGCGAATGTGCCCTGACCATACACCTGCATGCTAACGTTATGATATTTGTGTGAGTACTCAACGAGTATCGACCCGGAAAATGGTTCTGAACAATCGGTTTCAAAAATTGAAGGATCATAGAACTAGCTCTTCACGCTGTTTGGTGTGGGCTGACTCTTCTCAAAACGTGGAGCTTGAGGGAATATCCCACACAAAACTTCAGTCCGGTGTTGAACCGTGACGCGCTTCTCGTGTGGGGGGCCGTTCTTGGTATGTTTATTAACGAGTATGAATCAAAGAAAACGTAAAAGCTAACGTGTTTTGAATCTCGATAGGAGTATTTGTAGTTGTTCTGGCTGGCACTCACAAAACTAGGCTAGCCGATATTGTTTCGATCTGTGTCTTCCCGTGAGTCGCCTCATCGGTTTTTCTTTACGTGTTCTTTGATTCAAATTTCTTTCTCAGTCTGTTGGTCTCGGTGACTTGTCGCTCGGTATGTGTCCACGCCACTTTGAAGGGTCATCCCCGTACAGTTACGTATGTCGCTGACCGTCTCTGTTGACCTTCTCACAGGGCTGTCGAGTCGTGATCCATCTACAGAGACTATCAGAGACTGAAGGCTCAGAAAAGGAATCGGAGGACTTGGTGTTCTCCACCGTCGACTCGACTTGGGATACCCACACTCGTCCTTTGTAGTTGCCGTTCGTGACCTCTAGCGTAGTAAGAATACATCATCTCCCCGACGGATATCCAGATATTCAATCGTCTGTGGGCTTTAAGGCGTCACTATCGCACGCTTCCCACTTCCTATCAATTCGTGGCTTTAAGGATAGAACATCGACTTATTGTGCATATGTGTAGAACGTGTAAGCTCTCCTGGAGAGCGATTCTTGTTGAATAAAAGTAGTGAAACCAACGCAACTATGTTTATGAAGGAAAGTCAACAACCACGGGAAGGAACCAAGGCCGATTCATATCTCGAGGTAGAAATGTCACCGCTAAGATATTCTCACTGCCACATTCGTCGTTCCACATCTCTCTTATTTCTTCCATCGTCTCAGGATACAGCCTCTTCATCGAGTCCGAAAGCTGCAGAAATTCAGTGACATTACAAACGAAAAGATTGTCCCCCGGTTTTGGGAGACGCGTCTTCGTAAGGTTGACCAGTACGATTGGATTCTTCTTCCGATCACGAATGAGTGTTTGCTCTCCATCAAGCGTGAAGCGCCACTTCTGCGACAGGGTATTGCGATAGGTCGTGATTAGGGTCATAATGTTGGTTCGGGCCAACCCTACAAATTCACTGACCCAACCTTCGCAAAATTCGATGTCGTAGTGGGTCATAGGCACCACACGTTCTAAAAGTATGCATCAAGTTACACCTATCAGTACCAGATTGAACGTGTCAAGCATGAAACCTCACCACGCTGTGCTAGTTTATAGGACGAACACTCCAATCGGTGTCCGGCTTTCCAATCCCTTCGTTGACATTCGACGTCACAGTACACTGCTGTCTTGCACGACATGCAAATTGAGTAGTGGTTTCGTATCCGAAGAATGTGAGTAGGTTCGAGCTCAGTGAGGCGACACTGCAATCACAACATCATCACACAAAGCCTGTGATAGAGAAAAGATTACTCACCGACGCAGAGGTACATGCAAACGATGGGGTCCTCTTGAGCTTGCGTCTGTAGGATCGTAAAGCGAAAGCTTTCTCTCTGACTTCCTCCCAGCGGCTCCAGACACTCGGTGCGTGCTCCCTAAAAGCTTCCTCAACTCCCTCTCGTCGCTCGATCTTCTTCACCGAGACGAGGAAGGCGTGTAGGACGGTAGGGTAGATCAAGAACTTGGACAAGAACTCCAAGATCTCAACAATGCGGTGGATGCAGGAGATATCATTCGTTTTCACGCTATCTCCCTCCAAGAATGCTCGGGGTGATTTCATCAACACCACAACGATCCCGGCATTCAGCATCGCCAAGGCTGATGCGAGTTCATCGGTCAACTCCGACACGAGCGTTGAAAGCGTGAAGTACATGATTTCGTGCACGAGTTTGAATTCAACACCGTCTTTCGGGCCATTCCGGGTGAAGGCATGCTTCATGAGAGCCGAGATCAACGAAACGAGGGCTGGGATAGAATCTGAGCGAATTCCCATCTCCTTGAATGGACCGTATCGAAAGTATCCTCCCGCTGCCAAGCTCATGAGGAAGTTGTTTAAGGGCAGCAAACTCTCCGTCGACATATCGGGAACCCGGGTAGTCTCGTGGTTCAAATGGCGAATCAGGATGCGCGCGAGTGCCGGACCTTCAGTGTATCCTCCACTTGTGAGTCCCTGCATCTGCATCCGGGCCAAGATAGACTGAGAAGTGGCGTTGGCCCACCTCATCATATTGTTTATCAACCTCGCCCAGGTCCCCCAGGAGGGGTGGTACTCGTCGATGGCTTTGCACCATCCCTGGACGAAGAGCCTGAGTAGAGCAGGGTAGAAGTCGATCAAAGTCATGACAGGTCGCATGTGGTGAATCGAACCCAGAAGGTACGGAACATATGCAAAAACGCGTGCACGATGTTGTATGCCTTCGAACGTCGACGGGAGATCTTGGGCGAGTATGATGTCCTCAAAGAAGAACGTGATCCACCTTGCGATGACTGGAGATCCGCTCTTCTGGAGGATGAGGTAGGCGAATGCAGAGTCACTTCGATGGTTGATATAACGATGGTCTGCGGCTAGGTACCCAAAAACTTCAATTGCGATTTCGACTTCTGAAAGAGGACGACCAGGCGCATAGGGTGGCGGATTACCGAGTCTCTCAAGACGATGAAAGGCGGCCATCGGAGAAGTATAACGCCTACGGGCGGTTGCGAGATACAGCAGGTCAAGAGCATCGTCGTCCGGATGGAAGGGCATCCTATTTCCAGAACGGTAAGAGAACGGGCATACGGAGCTCATGGATAACATACTGCAACTGATGTGGGCTTTCTAGCGGTGGTTTAGCCCACGTCTTTGATGGTAGCAAGGGATGAGAGTAACTGACCGTGGTAAATTGTTGGTTTCCACCGTTGGTTACGATACACCCGACCATACTCCGATTTAACTTCCGATCTTTTGTAGTTTGAAAGAATCGTAGATAATACTTTGTTGGGTGAGCCAGCGAGTTCAGCACTATATTTACAGGTGTTGGACCTCTCAATGCGAGTGATGATATAACAAAAGAGTTCATTGAAA